CTTAACTCTCTGTATCCGCTGCTGTTTTTTATCATCATAGTGAAAAATCCCTGCAACCCTTAGACGTAGCCCAGATTTTGGGTGAACCAAGTAAAATCTGTGTGTTCTTGTATGTGTGTGTTTAATCACTCTCTTGTGTTTTCTGTTTAATTTTTCGCAACAAGTGTGTGCATATCTAAAATGCCTAACTTGGACAATACATTCTCAAACACAATCTTGTTGACACCCTTTGTAAGAATATCTGCAAGCATTTGACAGCTTCTGACAAATGAAGTGCAAATCTAACTAGCGATAATTTTCTCTCAGATGAAGTGTCTATCAACAAATCAAAAGTGTCTCCTCAGAACATAAACAATTAATAATGTCTCCTCAGACCGTAAAAAACCAATCATGTCTCCTCAGACCGTAAAAAACCAATCATGTCTCCTCAGACCATTTCCCTTCATACACGTGTTTAAAACATGTAGACATAGTTGTTAAAGGCTCAAGGCGCACAAAAGCGCAAATGCCTACTGGAGCCTGAGGCGCACATTGAAAAAAAAAAAAAACAAAACCCACCCAATAAAGTATTAAAGATGCAATAGTATATATAAAGATGCAAAAGTCAACTAAATGAATTACTTAAGTTCAATATTCAACATAAAGATGCCAAAACCAAGTAAATTTCCTGGATATGATGGATGTGCTATTATTATTTTTAAGTCAAATCAAATCTAATTTTCATTAAGCATTTAGGAAAAAAAAAAATCTAATTTTCATTAAGCAAGAATTAAGCTTGATGATTATGAAAAAAAAAAAAAAAAAAAAAGAATCAGATTTTTATACGTACTGATGAAGAATATCATGGAAATAAATCGACGATTCAATCTCTAAAATTCAATATGATAAAATATATTTACTTCAAAAATTGGGGTTGATGTAGGAAAAATGCATTATAAGGTTACTGCATTTTGCTGTCATTATTACCAATTCAAAGTGTCTACTTGCATTAATCTTATTGTTACCTGTTCATGCAAAAGGTTATGTATGATGGAGAAAGATCAAATTTTGACTTCACCTTAAAGTCCAACATCTTTCTGATACCCAATTATTAAATATGGTGCAACAAAAGTTTAAAATACATCCACATGCACAAAATTGTATATACAAATCGCAAACAACGATCTTTTTATTGCCACGTAGTATGAAATAAAGAACAGTACATAACAAATACAGAAAACTGAAAAAATAAAAAATAATTAAATAAATAAGACAATCTTAAATAAGGACTAAATAGGTCGACATCCAATCGATTTGGCAACGACTCCAACTCTACAAACAAACTGAAGTCTTTCAAAATTTATAAATTTTCTTATTTATTTATTTATTAATTTGATAAAAATAAAATAATAAAATAAAAAGAAGAGCTGCCAGACAGTCCAGACTCGAGAAAAAAAAATAAAATAATAAAATAAAGATAAATAAAAAAATAAAAAGAAGAAAATAAAAATAAAAATCTGCCAAACTCGACTAGGCCGAGAGAGCCGAGAGAAGAAAAGAAGAAGAAGAAAAGAAAAAGAAGAAAAGAAGAAAAAAAAAAATCTGCAGAGTCGCTGAAGAGAGAAGAAGAAGAAGCAAATCTGAGAAGAGGACGACCGAAGAAGAAGAGAAGGAGAGAAGAAGAGAGAGAAGGAGAAGTTGGAGAACTTACCGGCAGAGTCGCAGACGCAGATCCTGCAGATCCGACTTCCGAGACCAAGAGTCCAAGTCATCGCTGCCTCTGTCTTCTTTCCTTTGCTTTTTGTCGCTTTTTTTTTTTTTTTTTTGTTTTTTATGTTGTAACAATGTAACTTGTAGGTTTTCTATTCAATTAACTAATAAAATACTATAATATAAATAATAATAATATAACAATACACAAAAAAATAAACAAACACAACCAAACCAATTAAAAAATTGCATTTTCAAGCCTCAAGCGCCTTTGACAACTATGCATGTAGATGGAAGAATCAACAATATCTCCTCAGACCATTCCCCATCATACATATGTTTAAACAATGTAGATGAAAGAATCAACAATGTCTCCTCAAACCATAAAAAGAAACAACTATGACTTCTCAAACCATTTCTAAATAGATGGTGCCAAACTCGCAACGCCCTCATTAAGGTCGGACCACCCTGCCTACCCGACATCTCCTGCATGGGTGATGTCACCTTAGACCATTCCCGAATGGATGGTGCCAAACTCGCAATGCCCCAACTCTGATACCAAGTAGAAATATGATATAGAAGAAAAAGGAGAGACTTGTGTAAAGGCTAGAATAAGATGATCACTCATTCACAGCTCTAGTATTTATAAATAAAAAGAGCACATGCTCATATTACAAAAACGAAATTAAATCAAATCTAAATCAAATCACAACATATTCTATAGCATATTCTATGGTATATTCTATAGCATAATCAAATCTCTACTAATGCGGTAAGTCGTCCAATAAATCGTGGCTATCATATCTGCTAACACATATTTACTTCTTCTACGGATTCCTTGAAGTTGACCAGGTGGTTGATGAAGAAATACTTGCAGCAGGCCAGCAATTGAAAACATAACCACCTCCCCAAAGATCAGATGATTGTATAACAGAGTTCAGAACAGCAAGACATTGAACATATCTAAATGTTGATCCATCATGTACTACAAATGAAGGCGTGAACACTGCTCATCCTTTTACTTACTATCTTGACAACAGCAGAGAAAACTCCCTATAACAGAAGAGAGCCAGGGGAGAGAGCAGAAGACACATCCAAGAACATTTTTAAAGCTCTGTTTCTCACAGCACAAAAGGTTAATGGACAGAAAATTCATGTCCCAATTAGCCACCAAACAGTTAATTTTAATTTCGAACGGATTCTGTCTATTTATAAATTAAGTCATGTTATGCTGTTAATATAGAGAAACTTTTCTGAAAATTCATTAGGAGTTGCTTCCACTATCCAGTCCATGAGATAAGTGATGTATTTACGTGTTCCTTTAGGAAGCTACTGACATGATGTATATACTAATGGAAAAAGTTTCCATCAAAGCAAACAGAGCCCACAATGTTCTTTATCCAAGTTACTGTCCCAGCTTAACAATGGATGGTATAGCCCCCTGGTGTACATATAGCACCAGGTTTTAAAAATTGATTTTAGTTCTTAGAAAAGTCAATGTTCCTGGAAAGTCTATTCTCTCCATAATTGACCTTAAAATAACAGATTTATTTAAGTTAAATAAGCAAAGGCCCCATCATCATGACAGAAATAAAGTATGAAAGATTAAAAAAATAAATAAAGTAAGAAGATTAAAATAAAAAACTTGAGCTCATCAATTAAGGAAACAATCTCATTTAACTTGAAAACTAAAAACTTGAAGTTACACATTATTTTTTTAAAAATTTAGCAATAGCAACAAGTTACTATTTCACTATTTTCATTGGAATCACAGAATTTTTCAGAAGAAAAAGACACATGTAGAATGTACATTCATATATGCATGTTTTGGTTATTAAAATTTCTAATTGCAAACTTTGTATTTTAAATCAAAATGTTCATTAAACTATCCATTATTCAGCAAGGTAACATTCATATGTATGCATATGACATTTCATAATGAATAGTTTGACTAAAATTTTTAATTAAAATACAGAGTCTGTAGTTAGAAATTTTCCTATGCGAACCATATTTGGTATATTACATTCTGAAGTAAACTAAGGTTTATATAGGAAAAAGATAGTTCGAGTATATTGAGCACAAACAATTTAAAAGCATTTTAACTTTCTCTAATTTTTTAAAGCAGGTTATTAAAAAATATTTTATGCAACAAAGAGCACATGTTCTCCTAATCCAAGGCTAGAACTGTTAGTGGGGAATCCAGAATCACGTGTAAGACCTCACCTTCATACGTGCATGTTTTGGTTATAAAAAATTTTAACTACAAACTTTGTATATTAATTCAAAGCTTTATTCTAACTATTCACTATTCAACAAAGTAACTACATTCATATATGTACCTATGAAATTTCATAATGAATAGTTACACTAAAACTTTCATATGTAAACCTTATTTGGCATATTACCTTCTGAAAGTAAAAAAAAAATTTGCATAGGAAAAATATAGTTGGAGTATATTGAGCACAAACAATTTAAAGCATTTTGACTTTCTCTAATTTTTAAAGCAAGTTGTTAATAAATATTTTATTCAACAAACAGCACATGTTCTCTTAATCCCAAGCTAGAACTATTGTTAGTGTGGAATCCACAATCACGCGCAAGCACCACACCTTCCAAATAAAGCAGCTGCTAATAGGTAAAAGCTGACAGTGAACGATAGCTATACATGACATCGTAATCAATCAAAACTACCCTACTGGTAAATATTGCTTATTAACAAATATGCATTCATTCATATATACAATTTTTTATTTCAAAAGGCATGTTAGCTCTATTAAATTAAGTAAAGTAGATTGAATCAGTTCCTTAAACAGAAGGTTGCTCCCAGCAACCAGACGTGATACACACACACAGAGATGAACCATAATTCTTATAAATGTTCAAGCAGTTATGATACTGCATTCAGATTTTGTTTGTTTTCCACATCCAAACCCATCTAAAGTACAGCCAAACTTTACAGAAGTAATGATATTATCAGCAACTATATCTGCAGCAAACTTGAATCTAAAATAAAATTTATTGTTCCTTCAAAGTTTTACTATTGTTTCAATAACATTTATTACACAGTTCAGTGAATCTACCGTAGTAATATAAAAAGATGATCTCAGATTTTCCACTAATTGTATAATGAAATTATGCAGATGGTACTTCTTCTCACTTATCACCAAAAAAAAAAAAAAGAATGGTACAGAACAAATCTTTTCTTAGCCATGGCATAGAACAAATACAAAATCTAAGTAAATTTCGCCGATATATATATTTTCTATACCAAAGAATAGCTAAAAGGTCAGAAATGTTGTGGGGAAATCACATACATAGAAAGATTTTCATTGACTAAATAGCTCCTCAAATTTGAACAGCAAGCTTTATGAAATACAAGTTTCCAAATACACAACTGTGAATATGGAAAATAAATACTTTTAATAAAAGAAGCTTGTGGGCGGTAAGTTAAAGAGGATATTACTGTGCTCAACATTTCACAACTACAACCATACCTATGGAATTTTGCCTAGAAGTTTTTGCGAAGATGAAGCTGACATTCTTGATCATGGATTATACAGCTACAGTGCTCCTATGACCAGCCAAAATCACCCATGCATAAGAATATGACATAGTAGATGGCAAAGTCTTCGCATTTTGAAGGCAGATCTTTGGAAGATGAAAGACCATTATTGCCTATGAACAAAAGAGACCACGGTAGCAGAAATACAGTCTTGGCTATGTTCTTCCCATTAATCTTTAGTTAAGCATTTGCATTTCTTTTGATGCTCCGTGAGTTCCTGCCATGTTTTGGGGTTTCATTTAGTGAAAATTTCCCTTCAAGTGCAACAATAATACAAGAGCAGAGCTACTCTTATGGAAAGCCACACTTCACCAATTTCATAAATCTGTTTTTCCATAATTTAATATAAAATGAACTACAATTTAGCCAAGTGAGACAGGAAAATAATCAATGTAAGATTCCAATATTCATCTACTCCCTCCGTCCCAAAATTCTTATCCCATTCCAAAAATGGATATACTATTTTTTATAACATTCCCAAACTATCCTTTTGACATTGACTTGATTAAACAAGTGCACTAATTACGAAGTACTCCTTTGTCCTTTAACAAGGATAAATTTGGAAATTCACTCTTATCAATACAATAAAAAAAAGTATTAAAAACCCACTAACATAAAAAGTTAAATTCCCCAAACACCCCAAGAATTTTGGGACACAGGAAGTATCTTTTAATGCATTGTCAACAACCAAATGAGCAAGTGTCAAGTTAGCGTAGTAGAGAATATACCTGAATCTGTCTTTGTAGAAACTTGACATACTCTACTGCCTCTTCCAACATATCCGCAGTATTGGTTTGCTGCATGTAACAACACCAAACTTGGTAAGTCCAAATTATCAAGTTTGTGACACATATGCCATCATCAATCATTCAAAATAATAATAATAATAATAATAAAATATATTGGTGAAAGAAAAACATTATTTTTGTCTAAATTTAAGATTCAAAATTTATTAGTCATTTCTCAAGAAGCCATTGTGTAACGACCCACTCCACCACATGATATGATATTGTTCATTTTGAGCCTGAGCTCGCACGGTTTTACTCTTGGGCTTTACCCCAAAAGGCCTCATACCAATTGGAGTGACACATCCACATATAAGCACTTCACCTTTCCCTCACTCAGGCAATGTGGGATTGTGCACCCGTAGCTCGCCAGTGTGGTAGCCTGCCAGTGTCTCGCACCCGCCCACGACACACCCGCCTACAGGGTCATCACAATCCACCCCCCTTGGAGACCTGACGTCTCCACCGGCACACTTCCGGCTGAACCTGGCTCTGATACCATTGTGTAACGACCCACTCTACCACATGGTATGATATTGTCCGCTTTGAGCCTGAGCCCGCACGGTTTTATTTTTGGGCTTTACCCCAAAAGGCCTCGTATCAAATGGAGTGACACACCTACATATAAGCATTTCACCTTTCCCTTACCCAGGCGATGTGTGATTGTGCACCCGTAGCTCGCCAGTATGGTAGCCTGCCAATGTCTCTCACCCGCCCACGGCACACCCGCCCACAGGGTCATCACACATTGCATGGTGCAATGCTAAAAGCTTGGACTGACAAGCATGATAATGTGGCTTTGAGTTGGAAGGAATAAAGCCAATTAGCCAAATAGTTAGTCTATTCCTAGCTAAGCGTGCAATAGGGCAAGCCATCCGAACCCAACCCCGACCCAGCCCCATTTTTCACAGGCTTGGGCAATCATTTTTACACTTATGGTTAGGCATGGGTTGAAAATTCTCAATCCATACTTAATTAGGGTTGGGCTTGGTTTGAGATGCTAACAACCCGAATTCAAATTTTATTTTAAATATATTACATGTAATATTCAAATTATGATAACCTTTTTATTTTCAACTTTCTTTGTTTAAATCTTATTTTATTGTATGTTAATAGTTTGGAGAATTAATTTCCTAAGTAGTTGTTTGTAATTTTTAGAATTGGCATTTATTTTTTTAAAAAAAAAATTATGCTTAGGAGTAATATAATCTGAACTAACTCAAGATCATATTAAATTTTCAATGTGGAGATTTGCAATATGGGCAACCCGAACTAACCAAACTTTCTAACCTGAAATTTCAACACAATTTTAAAATTCAAGGATGAAATGGGCTCGGGTTGAGTAATTAGGGTTGAAGATTTCATATGTCGGGTTGAGACTGAGTTGTACCTCCAACCCAGCCGAGTTGCAGCCTTAGTCCAAGCACCAAAATATCACAAAAATGAGAACTTGAGGAATTCGTTTCGAGTGTAATATACAAATATACCAAGAAAATACTCCAATGTGATTGGCAAAACCCAAAAACCGTCTACATGTATACAAACACCCTCCCTATAACCAAAAATATAAGGAACTCATAACAGAGTGTTTCAGCACCCATATTAGTGCTTTCACACCCTCGAAAGATCTATTTTTTCTCTCATGCCACACAAGCTTCAAGTATTTTTGCAAAAAATTAGTTCCTGGCCATAATCTCACTTTATCAAAGCAATTATAACCCATAAAAGTGTATTTCAAAATGTGTATGTGCATTCCTATTGTAGATATATGCCTTTAAATTTAAACAAGAGGTACATTAAACAATAAAAGGGTTCAAAGAATTATTTGTAAAACAAAAAGACAAAAACCTCCATGCCTTAATATTCAAATAAATATTTGCCCAGGCTGTTTGGAATTGAATAGGTGAGGTGATGAGCTGGGGTATGTCATTTTCTGGTGTGCATCAGTTCTGGGATCTTTATAATTGGTATTGCCAACACATTCAGGATTGAAAGCTTCTTAGAAGTCTATTTGTTGCTGTGATTTGAGGTATATGGCAGGAAAGAAATGCAAGGCTCCATGGTTCATCACATAGAGCTCCTGAAACATTGGCCAGGTTTATGCTGTTTGAAGTCCTTGATGTCCATAATGCAACACTTCAAGATTTGCAGTCTTAGTTTCCTTTTTGTTTGCCTGTGCTTGTACTAAAAATGGGCCTATTCATTATTTGTGGCTCTATTTTTCATTTTCTGTCCTTAATTTTTGTTAAGGGTATGCCCTCTATGCACCTGTACTTCATGCTCTATCTTTAATAAAACACCAATTATGAAAAAAAAAAAAAAAAAATCAATAATAACAATATATATATATATATATCAGCCACAAAAGACAAGTACAGTAAATTCGTATGGACATATATATATATGTATATATGAAAGAAATAGTTATATAAAGACACACATTCTGATTGAAGCCGTTTGCTGGATAGAGGAATCATCAATCTCTTTAAGAAGTCCATTGAGAATAGCAGAAAACCGAGAAAATAATGATTGAAACCGTCAACCATGTCAATAGAAACTCTAGCAAGAGAGAGAAAGAGAGGAGGAAAAATAAGAAACTGATATGGAGAATATTTGTCTTGATAAGTGAAAAACTGATCATGATATGGAGAATAGCAAGAGAGAAATAGAGGCGTTCTAAGTTCTAATATATACATGACATATATATATATTTATGATATATATATATATATATATATATATATATATATATAATGGATACTATTTAAACCCTTCACATAATCCTATGCTTCCTCTAATAACGTGACCCGTGCAGTATGCCCAAAAATTCTGTATTGATAATTTTTTTGGCCTCAAAAACTCATCATTCATGAGCAGCCTAAAGAAAAAATGGTACGCAAGCGTTGTCATGTGAATGTTTACTGCACTTTTCTTTTTTTTCTTTTTTTTTTTTTGATAAGTAATGTTGTTTTCTTTTTTGGATACTATTAAACCCTCCACATAATCCTATCAACTATGCCTCCTCTAATAATGTGACCTGTGCAGTATGCCCACAAATTCTGTATTGATAATTTTTTGACCCCAAAAAACTCATCATTCATGTGCAGCCTACAGAAAAAATGGAACGCAAGCACTGTCATGTGAATGTTTACAGCAGTCTTTTTTTTTTTTCTTTTTTTTTTTTTTTTTTTTGATAAGTAATATTGACTGCAGTTCAAATGTACTCACTGAAACCTTCCGGGAAAACAAAATGTACTCACTGAAGTCTGAACCAAGAAAAATTCATTCTTTTTACAGCAACTAGCACGACACCCTTGTAAAAGGTGGAAGAGCACTAACTAGCACGACACCCTTGTATGTGGCCAAATGTTCTAGGAAAATTACCTACCATGACTTAGAAATTACTAAATTAAATCAGGAGCCAATAATAAATGAGGAACCAAACAAAATTTTCTCTGTTTTCTTAAATTTACACCGTCATTTGAGCAAAATATCCAAGAATTGGAGGCACACCCCACTACCACTTCAAAAAGAGAGAAGAAAACTATAAAAGAAAAAGTCCCACCATGTTTTACTGACTCTACCAGAAGCCATAAAAATCATCTATTCTTGTGTCTTATTTGTCATACCATGTTTCATCAATTTTACATCTCCCTTATAAACATTGACTAAAGCTGGTAATGTTCTCCATGACCATACTAATCTATTTCATGTCCATAGCACAAAAATTCAAAGCAGACATTCCTTTTTTATATTTTCCCCTTAAACGCATCCATGATTTTGCTAAAATTATGAATTGGACAAAGATTTGTTTTGGCTTTGAGCTAAAGTTGCCTAATCAGTATACTCACCAAACCACAATTCGGCCTCCCTAATCAAACTGTATGAGTTGTACGTGGGGAAAAGAAAAGACTTAAAATGAATTTTTTAACATAAAAAATTACTACGATATTAATCAGACGTATTCAATTTATGTTGCCAAATTATGACTACTCTCACATCTATGGATGCATTTACCATCATTATTTGGTGACATTTGCTCGCAACACTTAGTTATGTTTTAATCAAATAAAACCTTATGAATATCAAGTCTAATACTCACTTCTTTGGATTACTTAAAAATTGTCAAACAACTACTACAGATATTTTATTCTCAATGGTACTATACATATGCACAAAACACAATAAATCATTAAGATCAAAATCATGTATACATTTATTTCCATGGATGAATGTGCATGATTTCTTGTGTCAACTTAATTCTCTTTACAAATTGTGTTAGGAGCCTAGAATACAGTAAATCCAAGACAGATATGGCAATTCCTATCACACTAACAAAGTTCATAACATAAAATATTATATATAAAACTAAATTATAATCTCAAATTTGTTAAACTCGATAGGGAACCCATAAAACTTGTATCTAAGATCACAATGAGAGTGGTGAATTCAAAAAATTGAAATTGTAACCATATATAAGTTACCTTATCCATATTAGGCACAAGTTCCTGAAGCTTCCTTATTCGGTCACTAATTCGAGTCCTCCGAACCTTACACAAAGAGAAAAAATATATTTCAAATTAGTAAAAACAATTAAATACTAAAAATAGAGCACCTAAAACCCAATGCAAGAGGCTCCCACCATTGCAAGCTGTGGGGAGGGTGAGATGTAGCAGCCTTATTCCGCATTCGGAAAGGCTGCTTTCTTGTTTCAAACCCGTAACCTCTAGGTCACAATGGAGGAACCTGTAACCTCAAGGTCACAATGGAGCAATCTTACCGTTGCGCCAAGGCTTACCCCCAAAAGTAGAACACCTCTTAAATTTAATTTGAGAAGAAAAATATAACAAATCCAATTAAAGTTACACAATTCTTACCCTCTCAGCAATGCTCCGAGGATGCGTAGCACAGCCTCGCTTAGCCCGAACCCTACATGGAACTGAATCCTCCAAAAGCCTATCCATATCAGCATCCAACACACCACTAATTCCACCATGTAACTGCCCACTCTGCTCTCCTTTCTACACCACCCATAAATAATAAATATGAGTATGTATAATTATTTTTTTAATTATATTACAGGACATTTTGACACATTGCCCTCCATGATTGTGTGTCTATATATACCTATAAGTATATGCATATAACTTAGCAGACAATTATGTATAAATACAACATGAATATGATAACAAATGTGAAAATTTATTAGAATGAATTCGAAGTTCATATGTAGTTACCAACTTAGAAGAAAATTTTGCTGATGAGTGTTCTGAATCTCCCTCCCTAGCCCGCTTCCTGGACGGAGAGACCTCCATAGACGACGAAAGGTAGTCATAATTGGCGGCAATTCCGTAGTTCGAGAAGTACCCATCAGACCCAGGGCTGATTTGAGTAAGAAACTCCGCCGGAGAACTGTTCTGCCGGAGAAAACTTATCCCAGACGCCGCACCACCGGCGTCAAACAAACCCGGATCGGGCACCGACGCGTAACTAGTGCCGGACCTTCGGGTGGTGGGTGTGGCTGAGTTGGACGGAGGAAGCTGAGTCGGGCACTGAGTCGGCTTCACTAAGTCGTCCTCCTCTTCCGACTCGAGCAGAGCTTCTAACCAGGTCGCCGGAGCTGAGCGGAACCGCGCGAGTCCCCGACTCAGTTCACCTCCTCCGCCGCCGCCGCCGCTTCCACCGCTCGTCGGTTGCATCTGCTTCCCTCAGCTTCAGTTTCAGGTGCTCTGCTGTTGCTCAGCGGAAGAACACACTCTCTCTCTGTCCTCACTTTCTCTCTCTAAAAGGGTAAGACTCGCAAGACTGGACGGTTCTCTTTTCTTCTCTAATAAATATGTATAATAATCATATATCTACATATATATACTGTCTATGTATTAGTGTGTCGGTCTACTTTGATTCTTTACCGTCTGATCAGAATAAAATTGTGATATCATTTGTTTTTAAAACCATTGAACGGTAGATGATGACGGTGGAGGTACACATCTAGAGAAGATACCATTTCACAACGGAGTAAAAAATTTACGGCTAGGGACTCGCGACGTATCGTTTTACAAAATTTCTACTGCTTCACTTTGACTGTTAACTGTCTTTTTTGACTGTTATATCTGGTTTAATCAATCTTCTGAAAATAGAAGTAATTTTCTGTTAATTAAAAATTATTTTCATTTGGGTCATTTATTGAAAATAACGGCAATTAGTTTGAAATTTTATTTATTTAATATCTGTTAAGAAATTTGTGGCAACCCTAGCTATTCACAGTTTTTTTCTAAAAATGCGTCTACGGACATCCAGATATGATATTAAATAAATTAATGTAAATAATTAGAATTTATACAGTAAATTAGTGTCTTTTTGGTTTTCTAATTTATTTTTTGTTTTTTCATTTTTGAAAAAACATTTCACATAATAGAAACAAACGGAGCTTATTATATGAGTTAATTTTATTTTTACTAACAGATTTAACCAAATAGATGTTTAAATTGTATTATATTTTTCTTTCATTCAAAATAAATGATAAAAAATATATATTTTTCAGAACAATATAGACCATGCAACTACTATATTCCAAAATATATAGACTTATCAAGGATTTAGTGCAAATTGTGTCTTTATTTTTTTCCCCAAATAGAAAGTTGAATATTCACAATTATTTTTTTCTTTTTTTTTAATAGAAAATAAAGTATTTTTTTCTTTTAGAGAACTTTGGCTCCTCTTTAAATAAAAATAAATAAAAAAATAAACTTAATTGAAATGAAAAATAAAAAGAAATAAATGCTTTAGCGTGAAACAATAACCTTTTCAACTACTACTATTATGATTTTCACTTAATCTTGTGAACAAAGGTTTCTTTTTATTCCTTCTTTATTTACTGTGCATTAAAAAATAAATAAATAAATAAAAGAAGGTACCATGCATTTACATGTTTAGTGTGTAGTCTAGAAGGTCTCATGTTTTTACCATTTCTGGCTAAAATAAGGAAACAAGACAACGGTGTCCCCCGTGTCCATAAATGCACTAGGAAAAAGGTCGATGCAGGAGCGAATTTTCAACTTTGTGGGACCAGATTTAGGGTTTACATCAGTTTTAGATTTTTGTGAGTATTATTATTATAATAATTATTTTTCCTTACCAAAAGGTAAAAATGTTCTTAAAAGTTCGAACAACAATATCACTTGGGATACGGGAAAATTATTGGCTTGTTCGGACAAATGGATCCTCTCCTGTAAATTTTGAGGGTCTGGCTCGGTTTGGTAGAGAGGAAGGGATTTGGATAGGAAGGATAAAAAGAGTGATAAACGATATATTTCTATACTCGTTTTGATAGAAAAAAAGAAAGAGGGGTAGAGGGAATATAAATTGAAATAAACAAATCTCATTTGTTTTGTAAAAAGTGAAAGTCATCATTTTTCAATCACAAATTTTCATTCATCTAAATATAAGTGAAAGACACGGAGAAAAAAAGATAATGCTATTATAAAATTTTTTAAATTATTAAACTTTTCTTATAATTAATATTTTTTCTTTCATTATGTCCTAACAAATAAAGTAATATATTGTCTTATTTTCTTATCTTTCATTCAACCAAACAAAAAGAGGAATTAACACAAATTTTTTCTAAGAATGTCTAATTCATCTCTTCTTTTCTCTCTTAATTCAATTTTTTTTCCTTCCTACCAAACGAAAAGAAAGAGATTGAGTTCTTCCCTCTTTTGTTGGGTTGGATAGAAGAGAATTGAATGACATAATTCAATATTCTCTTTTATTTTCTCTTCTCTCCTTACCTCCTCTTTACCAAACGAATGAATTTTGTTTATTTCTTCATATCTTCCCTCCACCCCTCCTCCTTTCTACCTAACTGGACATTAGTATTATTTATTTCACTTAAATTAATAATATAATGCCTTAGGTGGATAATGCAACATGAAACCGAAGACTAATATTCATGTAATACATTCATATTAAAAATATGCATTAACATTCATTCAACATTATTAAATTGAGAACGTGACCCACACGGCGTTGTTGTATTCTCAATTTACTAATTAATAGAGTAATTTGATTTAAGGGTGTCGTGTGAGTGATGTTATCGATTTAAAAATTTTTAAAAAAAATGAAGTTGGTGTAATAACGCATATAATTCTATTTTACGTGTAATATAATAGACTAAAAATGCTAAATAAACACTAATTAATGGTTACCACAATAATATGGAAATCCATTAAATCTATCAATAAGTTGTAAATATCAAACAAAGTAAATAGAACTAAATGTCAATATCTATTAGTACATAATCACATCACTTCACACTCAAAACTAGGAAAAGATAAATGAAGTAATTAATGTCGTTGTAAGCCAGTGGTAAATTGAGCTCACTCTGTTCCGATTTAAGTATCACCTATTGAGAGTAATAATTTTTAAAGGAACATACAAGATATACATTGTTTATTTAAAAAATTATTAAATTTACTTTTTTAAATTTTAAATATTAAAATTTTAAATTTTAAATTCAAAAGACATATATAAAAAAATGTGAAATATATTGTTTGAAAAAAAAAAAAAAAAAGTAGACTATTATTTTAGAACGGATAAAAAAATATATATATTACACTTATTTTAGGAGGAATAAAGTATCAATTTAATGAACGCACTTCAATTAAGGGGAGTGATCTAAATTTAACTGGTAACCAACTTACCATGGATCAATATATGAATAAATATGTACTTAATACATGTGACGTCATTGTTGAATTACCATATTTAAAATACTATAACTTAAAAATGCACCTAACACATGTGATGTCATTGTCGGTAACCATGTTTATAATACTATAACTTCAGTCCTCAATCAGAGTAAACTCGTTGTTGTCATTATATATGTATATAAATATCCCTTATAGAAAGTGATTCATTTTAAGTTATTTATATACATTTAATTAATTATTATTTTAATTTAAAGAGGAAACATGACTTTTCAAACTGTTGTTTTGGCTGTGTAGTCTAGTAGTACCTCCTTGATCACCTTCCAAGTAAAAAGTCAAGGTTCAAGTCTTTTTAAAGAGTAGAAGTGAGTGTGTTTCTTACCTTGAAAAAAAAAAACAAACAAACAGTTGTTTTCATAAAAAATATTAGTAATCTTTTACACATACATATGACAATGAAAAACTTCTTCAAAAAGTCACCTTCTAAATCGAAACACCTCTTTTTTACACAGCCATTAGGCAGGGCCGGCCCTGGCCCAAGGCGGTAGCCTAGGGCCTTAGAATTTTGGAGGCCTCAAATTTTATAGGCCCATGTATGATGGGCTACAAAAGAAAAAGGGGCCTCAATTTTTATAGGACCATGAATGTTGGGCTACCCAAAAAAAATTGTAACCAAAATGCAACAAATAAGGGACCTCAAGAATGATGGGCCACTAAAAAAAAAAATTTATAACTAAACCATAACAATTGAAACTCGCCTCCAAATTTAGGGCGATCAAAATGGAGCAAGAATGATGGGCCAGCCTCCAAATGCTGTAAGAATGATGGGCCATTGAAAAATAAAATAAAATAAGGCAAATGCAGCAACAATCAAATTTAGGGCAAATTTAGTATAACCTCACCTCTCAAGTCTCAAGCTTACTCCATCTTTCTCTCTGCTCTGCAACCAACGGCAACAATCAGAAGACAGAAACTTTTTCAGTCTCTCTTAAAGTCTGAGCTCTATCTGTTCCTTTTTTTCGGGGTTCATAACTCTGCATCTGCATCATCGATCCCTATCAACACACTCAATTAATGGCAACAACACTGTAAGTTTTCTTTTCTACATCTAAGTTCTAACTCTAATTCAAGTCTTCAAGTAGTTATTTTGATGAACTTAAATTAAATCTTAAACCAAAAAATTATTTTGATGAACTTAAATCTTTATCAATTGTTCTTATGGAAATAATGGAATTATTGTTTGACAAATAAATTTGTTGTAATATAGGGAGTTGAGGACTTATCATTTAGACTTCTCATGAGGTATTTTTATTTTTCATATGATTATATATTGAGCCATTGAGATTGAGGTAATCTATATTTTCTTTCAACAAAGTATTTTTTTTTTAAGTTTAGTTTTATGTTGATTGTGTTTCCTGTTATTTAGATTTCTAAGATTGCAAGATTTTTGACAATTATATCTACAAGAAAATTTAAATCTGGGTATGAAAAAAGAAAAGAAAAAAGAAAGAAAGAGAAGAATAATTGATTGAATCTCAAAATGGCGTTATTCATAGTTTTTTAGGAACAATGCACAAACTGAGAGTTTAGTTGAAGTCTTGAAGATTTGGTGAAGGAATAACATAGGAATGAAGAAAATCTTAATGAGCATAGAGATTTAATGAATGAAGATAGAAAAGAGAATCAAAATGAAGAAAGATTAGCAAATGAAGAATATGAATGAGATTGATAATCTTCCTTTGAGTATTAATGATCCAGGAAATTGGAAAGATATTGATAAAAAAAATGAGAGATTTATTAGTTGAAAGAGGTCCTCCAAGAGATGCTAAACTTGAAAATTTTTCTAAAAATTCAAAAAATAGACATTTCTCTTCTACATATTACATTCGACACTTGTCAAACGGTGAAAAACATGATAAGAGATGACTAATCTATTTGAGTTCTGTGGACAGAGTCTATTGCTTTTGTTGTAATTTGTTTAAATGTGACGAATAAAAAACTCATTTGGCAAATGAAGGAGTGAATGACTGGAAAAATCTTTGGGATAAACTTAAAAGTCACGAGACTAGTCGTGAACACATTGTTAACATGGGGAATTGGATTGAATTAGAAATCAGATTACAAAAAAATGCAACAATCAATAAAAGTGTGGAAGAAAAAATCAAGAAAGATAGAAAACATTGGAGGCAAGTATTATTGAAATTGAATGGATTGGCTATCTTGTCTATTGAAAAAGATATGTTGGAGAAAGTTGATTTGAGCACTTTAATTGATAATTTTGCAGCTCAAAATGTAAGACGATCACATTTACTTTAATGAAAATTTTGCACTTTCGTAAAAAAAAATAAAATAAAATAAAATAAAATTACGCGTGTGAAACTTATGTATAAGGGCCTCACATTTAAAATTCGCCTAGAGCCTCTCAAGAATTTTTCAATCTCAGGGCCGACCCCGCCATTAGGATCTCATATATAAATTAAAAAAAGACTGATATTGAAATTGTCATATCACTCTATATCTTACTCTTCTCTGTTTCCATCTCCCTATGGTACCATCCTAGGTCGTTTTCTAGGTCGTTCATTTTGGATTTGTTTGTTTTTGTCACGAGAAGATTGACCGTTGTCACGTGATGCCATATCTAACAAAAACTAAAATATTAGTACCATATTTATATAAGTATATTTTTCAAAGAACCTTTCACACCCGATTTTAGGGATATGACAATGAAATTATAATAAAATTAAATAAAATACCAAATGCTAAAATAAAATAACTCTCATCACCTTAAAATTTAAAATATTTCAACAATAGTTCATCACATTTTTTTTTTTTCCTGTCTAACAAACAAAAAAAACAAAAACAAAAACAAAACCAAACCACTAAGCACCATGGTCTATATTATCCAAATCAATAGCCTTCAGGACCTCGAATGGCCAAACATCACAACTAACATCACCAGATTGAGAGACCATTGCCAATTGACTGATAATGTGAGCAACCGAATTATTTTCTCTCGGCGTCCAACCAAGTCGTAAATGAGAATTTGTCTTCAACATGAACTGAATATCTTCCGCTAAAGGAAATGAGAGAGGATCCTGAGGATGGGAAGAAAAGATGGATAAGCAATCACCTTCTATATTTACCTTGTCATAACCCCATTGGATTAGAATCTTTATTCCTTCGCGGAGAACTCAAGCCTCAATGACCTCTGAACTGGCCACATGAGAAGTAAAAACAGATGCAATTCTAATTGGACTACCATTAGAATTTCGCAAAATAAGACCACCGCCAGCTTATTGTGAAATAGATCTAAAGGCTGCATCAATATTGAGCTTAACTCGACCCTGATCAATTGGAGGAACCAAGTGAAAGGGAGAAGCCAACCGAGAAGAAGATTTCGTGAAAGGAAAATCTTATCAAGGAAAGCCCAAAACTCATTAAAATTAAATAAAGCTCGTTCCACAATGTTCTTTGGATTCCATTTTATACCATTGAAACAAAAGTCGTTGTTTGCCTTCCAAATCTGCCAACACATAAATGAAAGCAGGCTTAAAAGTTGGTCAAAATATTCAGCTTTCTTCCATTGATTCGATAATTTGCACCAAACCGCTTACCAAAAGTTAGAAGCCTCATTACTGAAGTCCAGACACAATGGACTATATTTCCAAGCAGTTAGAACAATAGGGCATTTACAAAACAAATAAAGAGTAGATGCATCTTCCATCCCACAAACTTTACAAATAGCTTAAAGCACGACATGATACTTTTTAAGATTCAACATGACCGGTAAGCGATCCAAACAACTTTTCCAAATGAAAAATTGAATCTTCCTCTTAGTTTTAATTTTCCAAATTTCCTTCCATTTGGGGAGAAACTCTTGATCAATGTTGCAACATGGACGTCCTAAAGATTTAAAAGATTGAAGATCAGAATCAATGACTGCCTTATAAGCACTTCGAACACTAAACATCTCATTTTGAGTTAAACCCCAAATTTTGAAATCGTCACCACCGTACTCTCTAAGGGGAATTTGAAGGATAAGAGCTGCATCTCTTCTATTGAAATTTTTGACAACTAAATCTTTCTTCCATTGCTTGAGATCGTGATTTATAAGATCCGCAACTGTAGAAATTGAAGAGGATCCAGGAGTGGGGGTTGTCACAAAAAAATTATTCGGATCAAGAAGCCAGGGATCCTTCCAACAATAAATTTTACTACCATCCACCACTCTCCACTTCCATGATCTACTCACAAGAGCTTTTGCAGCACAAATTCCCTTCCACACCCAAGAAGCTGACTTACAACAATAAGAATTAAGAAAGGAACATGACGGGAAATACTTACTTTTAAGAAAATGAAACACTAAAGAACCATTAGAACTTTTCATTCTCTAGGCTAATTTGGATAGTAAGGCAAGATTAAATGCTTGTAAATCTTTAAAGTCCAAACCACCAATAGCCTTTGGAGTACAAAACTTCGACCACCCAACCCACTTCATAAGAGAACTAGATTCCTTACTTCTCCACCAAAAATTCATCATCTTTTTTGAGAGATCTTTACATATAGAAACAGGAAGTTAAAGCATGACATACAATAATTGGGAAGCGAAGCCATAGTGGACTTAATAAGAACTTCCCTTGCTGCTTTTGAAAACATCTCTCCCTTAACTTGTTTAATTTTTGAACTAATTCGCTCAACAGAAAATTAAATGAAGCTAATTTGGAGCAGTCAAGAATCGATGGAAGACCCAACTAAGCATTTTTCCAACCATTTTCATCAATGCCCAGGATGCCGCTTAATTGAGATCGAAGCTGGGGAGAGACATTTGGATTAAAAAATGCCCCCAACTTATCATAATTGATTGATTGACCAGAGAGAGCTTCATATTTAGACAAAAAGCTCTTAAGATGCATAACTTCTTCGCATTTAACATGGCAAAAAAGTAAAGCATCACCCGCAAAAAGAAGATACGTAATGGAAGGGGATTCACGACTTACCTTGACCCCACTGATATGATTTTTGTTAACGGCATTTTGGAGAAACAAAGATAGTCCTTTAGAGTAGAGAATGAAGAGGTAGGGGGAAAGAGGATCCCCTTGTCTCAACCCTCTAGAATGATTAAAAAGACCCCATGTTTCACCATTGATTTTTATTGAGTAGGAAACTGAACTAATACAAGACATCACGAGTTGAGTCTACTGATCTAAATATCCCCAACATTTCATTATCTTCTTTAGGAATTCCCACTCCACACGATCATATGCCGTGGCCACGTCATGCTTCAAAGCCACCATTCATGTTCTTCCTTTTTTCCTCTTAACATAATGCATCAATTCTTGGGCAATAATGATATTATCATGTATAATACGCCCTGAAACAAAGGCACTTTGTGTGATACCCCTTGGATCTGAGACACGGGTTGATCAGGCCCAGACCCAAACCCGAGGGATATCAAACAATTAAAGTATTTTAAAGCGAACACAGAATAGAAATTTAAGAATTTAAATAAAGAACCAAAAGAAATATAAAATCCTCCAAATGGAAAATATTATTAATCCAATCCTTCCAAAACCTCCAAGGTTACAACTTGGGAATCCAACTAGTGAACCCCGAAATAAAACTTCAACTGAAATTGAATAATTAAAAATAAAAATAATCCAAGACTAAAGCGTGAAATGAAATCCTACGTTGCTGGTGGAATGAATGAGAGTCTCAGCTTAGCATGATCAAGCTTGAGATTGGAACCGTCCAATACCTGAAAAGAATAATAAATGAGTGGTCAGGCCCACGAGCAAGTTCTAATCTAACTGCAATCTATACAGTGACCCGATACGCAGATACACCGTAGACGCCTCACAATAACTATCTAGTCCATACATATAAATATATCCACACTAAGGGACATTCACTAGTCTATAATAGGGGTCTCAACCTGAATAGAAGACAACATGTGAATACGCACCCAAAGGTGGGCATGAGTACCTAGATCTAACAGGGTACACCTCAACCTATTATAACCAGTTACGCATCCACTGCATATACGCACCCTAACCAACGAGTCTGAGACTCAAGCTCATCTCGTGGTACCATAAACATATATATAAAGTCCGTCCAAAACCAGGGTATGTAATTCAAATATTTATTAAACTAACATACAATAAACCAACTAGTTAGTCACTCAACTTATTCAGTTGATATGACTTAACTACCATCCATTAATCCAGGAAGCCATTCAACTTATTCGCAATTGATCTGACTTAGTCACAGTTAGGATTCAATATTTTTCAATCCATTCCTTTAATCCATTAGGTTAGGTTTATGCGTTTTGAGCTAAACCGTCCCTAGTATGACACCGTCCCATACCGGTGCGTACAATCCTCCATATCCATGTAAATTACAACATATATATAATAGTTTAATAATTTACAGTCCAAAACCACCATTCAAATAATTGCAGAAAAGTGCTTAAAGTTTCAACAATTTAAATCCAAGAATTAAATCATATGATTGCAGGAATCGATTTAATAATTTAACAACTAACGTTCAGAGCATGCATAGATCAAATCTAATATATCAATGACTTTATCATGCACTTAAGATAAATCCTATAATCATATTATAGGCCAAAAATTGCTACATTAATTTAAGCAAATTATTTATTTCCATCCGGCAACAGTGTACTTAGTTGTATACTTGAATTCCGTTTAATCTTTTAGCACAGGGCCACACTATGCTACCAGTGTAGTTTGTTAAATAAAAGACTTCACCGTGCATTTAAAACAAGTTTTATAAACACATTAAATCCATTTAAATTGCTGAAATTTAATTAAGCAATTATTTTGTCTTCCATCCGTTAATAGCATAGAAAAATTCATTAACTGTATACTGTTAATCCCGACCACTTAGAATTAAACTTTAATTAGTTTAGGGTCCTAATAACATCCTAAAACAACTTCTTAGTCCCTCTATGAAGACCCAGACCCATTAGTACAGTGTCCATGCTTAACAGTACCAAACAAGACGTGGAAAAACAAGTCTGGAAGTGAAAATTGAAGAGAGCCTGCTCTAGATTTTAAAGAGCGGGCTCTTTTGAGCCTGGAGCCGGCTCTAGCAGCCCTAGATCCGGCTCTTCATGTGTGGGAGCCGGCTCCCACATCCATGGAGCCGGCTCTCACCTCCTTTGAGAGCCTCCGTCCCCGTTCTGCTTCGTTTCAGCCTATCTTTTCACCTCCGGTCATTCCAGTTCCTCTGTTTCTCTTAAATACTGAACTTAATAGTCTTATATATACCTAGTATCATTCCAATGGTCAACTTACAGTAGTTGAAAAGAATTACAGAGGCTAAAATTACAACTAAGTTAACATGCTCGAAGAACAGAATGCTGAAACGAAAACATGCATAACTGTTGTTTTACAGAATTAATATCAACACCTAAAGATCATTGATATAACATGTATTAAACATATAGGTTCCAGTTAATGTTAAATTTAAACCCTAGAGACTATCTAGGTGCACAGAACACGAGCCAAAGAGAAGGAGAAAGAGAAGAACTTGCCTTTGATTTCAGTTATGAAATCCCGGCGTCGTCTCCAAGTTTTTCAGCAATTCTGAACGCCGTCAAGCTTCCTACAACTCCATCTCTAATCCTTAATCAACCTCCTTGGTCCTCTCTGTACAATTCCTCTTAAGCCTCGCTCTATTTCCTCACAAATGCTCTTTGTTTCTCTCTCTGTAACTTTGGTACATGAATAGGGTTTTTCCAACCCTTGATACAGATTATAACCGTATATTTATAGACACAAAAATAACCTAAGTCTACTTAAAACCCTAGACTGTAATTTAATCGGCCCATAGAAAACCTAAGTCATATTATGTCGGCTATCAATACAGAACCCTCTAAAACATACGTGAAAACCTACGTACATAAACAAACCATTTAACTTATTTATTTAACTTATTTATTAATAAAAGCAACTAATAAATCCACGTTTGATAATTAAAACATTCAATTAAAATAAACATAACAATTTAATTAAACAAAACAACTAAATAAAAATAATCAAGGAATTCATTTAACCCTAATAATTCAAATAATTTCAAATAAACAAGCAACAAAACCATTTAAATAATTAAAAAAAACAAGTAAATACTTAATTAAAATACCATAACTATCCTCTTAAAATTAGGGTATTACACTTTGGTAGTGGCTAATCAGATCAGAGAGACACGGTTTCAATCTGTTTGCAAGTGCCTTAGAAAAAATTTTGTAAGAGACATTACATAATGAAATTGGATGAAAATGACAAACCTATGTGGGATTCTTCACCTTTGGATTAAAGAAATATTGGTTTGATTTAACTGCTTGAGAAGAAAGCCAGAATGCAAAAACAAGTTGAAAGCTCTTACCAAATCTCCTTTAATGATGTCCCAATTAACTTGGAAAAAGAAAGGAGAAAATCCGTCTGGACCCGGAGTCTTCATTGGACCCATATCTTTTAAAGTCAACCACAGTTCCTCTTCAGATCTTGGTTTTAGTAAGTCTTTATTCATAGCATCAGTTATTTTAATAGGGATCATATCCTAAAAGGAATCATCTATATGAAAATTTACTGATGAAGAGAAGAGATTAGAAAAATACGCTTCAATAATGCTTCTGATCTCCTACTTAGAATCTCTCCATTCTCCATAGGAATCTTCAAGGCTTGAAATCAAATTTTTCTGTTTTCGAAACATAGTCTTTCTGTGAAAATAGCTAGTGTTCTTGTCATCATGCATCAATTATGAGATCCCGGACTTTTGTTTCCAGTGAAGTTCCTCATCCCTCCAAGCTTTTCCCAACTCTGTTTCAAGACGAAAACAAAGTTGTTTATCACCATCATCTTTCCCTTTTAACTCTGCTATTTCCCTTTGAAGATCTTAAATATGTTGCGCCGAATTACTCTTATAATTAGAATTCCATAGTTTAAGCTGATTTTTGCACAGCTTCAACTTTTCCTTTAAAACAAACATGGAAGAGCCATTAACAGGATTCTCCCAAGAACTTTTGATTAACTGGTTAAAAGATTCCTCCTGAACCCATCTGGCATCGAAGTAAAATTGACATTTGGTGCTCAAGATTTCTTGATTAAAATCCAATAATAATGCAAGATAATCAGAGCCTAATACTTAGAGATTATGTAAAGCACAATAAGAAAATGAGCTCAGCTAAGATTGAGTAGCCAAACCTCTATCTAGTTGAGCTCTAATCTTTTTACCCGATTCCCTATTATTACACCAGGTAAAGGAGTCTCATTTAAAACCCAAATCCAGCAAACCACAATCTTCTACTAAACTTCAAAAGCTCCTAAGCATCCAGCTCCTTTGATGAACCCCATTTTTTTTTCCCCCCGCATGAAGGATCGAATTGAAGTCCCCCATTAATAACCACTTATGCCCAATCTTAGTCTGTAATGAGTGGAGAAAATTCCATTGCAAATTTCTGGTACTGTCATCACAAGAGGCATAAATACCCGAGAAAAACCAATCACCAATCTGACCACCCTGTGATATCTTGCATGTAATGTGAAAGCCATTGCTATCAATGACTTGAATTCCCCAATTGTCTTTGTAAAATAAAGCTAAACCTCCCGATAAACCATTAGAGGGGATAACAAACATTTTAAATTGACCACACTGTCGATGTAATTGCTCTAACTTTGCCACATTATTCTTAGTTTCAACCAAGAAAACCATAAAATGGAGAATGAGTATAGAGTAATCTCCGCAACTGGGAAATTGTTACTGGGTTCCCATACGCTGAAAATTCCAAACTAGAGCCTTCATGAACAAAGAGTGATGGATATTCAAATGAACCCAAATAGAGGAAAGACAGTAAGAGAAGGAGAGAAAGGAAAACAGAAAAGGAAAGGGAGGAAAGAACGTAAGAAAAAGGGAAGAGGGAACAAAACAAATTGAGAGTGAAAAAGAGAAAAAAAGAAAGGAAGAAAGGAATTAGAGCAAAGAAATGAGCGAACAAGTCAATCTGATAATGAAAAAAAAAGAGCAGAGAGAGAAAAAAGAGAAAGCAAAAAGAAATTAGGGCAAAGACAAGAGGGCACAAAGCAAACATATAATGAAAATTAGATATAAAGAATTTAGAGAAGAAAAGGTATGAAGAAAGTAGGGCAAATAAAAGAGGAAAGAAAGCAGAGGAAATAAGAAAATTGTACAGCAGAAAAAGGAAAGAAATCAAGGCAAAACCTGGAACCAAGAAACAATTGCTTTTGAAACTCTGAGACGCCAAAGACCCTCTACAACTACGAGAGAAACACACAACCAATATTGAAACTGGAGATTGGGTGGATGAGATCTAGCGGGGAGGCGGTTCTCCTCGAAGAGAACCCTAGCTACCTGTATATGTATATTAGGTGTAGATAAGATTTTTAGTTCATCATTTAAGATTAACACATAATAACTGAAATGACAAACATGGTCTTTCACATAAAAACATCATCTTTCTTTTACATTACAATTTCCAAACTTATTTTTAACATCTCTCCAATAAAATAAACTCCATAAGCATCATATATATCACCGTTAAGTAAGTTTCGGAAATGTTTCATTTTTCAATTATATGGGACTTAAAAAAAATAGGGTTAACTTCAGTTACACCCTATGAGATATGTCTAATCTTCAAGGTGACCCCCCCACGTTTGCAAAATTCAGTTGACCCCCTGTCAGACATTGTCGGTTGACAAAAACAAATAAATGAATGAAATGACTAAATTGCCCTTTTGTCGTTTTTCTATATATACTTAACCAAACCCAAGTTTATATAACTTAAACCCAAGTTTTCTTTATCTTGTAAACCAAACACCGTGTAATCACAGTGGCCAAACACTTCAATCCACTTTACTTCGTTAACCCAAACTTAGGTTTTGCAATTTCATTTTGCCGACTAACCCTAGATAGAGAGGCAAAGAGAAGAGATATCAGAGAGATATAGCCCTAGGTTCGTATGTGAAGATATCGATTTTGGTTGAAGCCTACACTAAATACGCTTGATCAAACAACATATTTGCAAATAGTTGAAGGTTTGAAGAGGAAGAATTTGTTTGATTTGAAGCTATTGAGAAAAAATCGCGATTTGGAGGTATGAATTTTGTCTTTCTAAAAATTGATTTTGGTTTTATTTGATAAGGGGTTTCGGGTTTGTAAAAATGGGTTTTTTTTTTTAGTATTTCTTTCTTCGGTTGTTTTTGTTTGGGGGTTTAGGGTTGTTAAATTTATATCTGTAACTTAGGATCTTGATTTGGGAGTTTAGGGTTAGTTTTTGAGTTTATTTGTTGGGTTTGTTGAGTTTGTTGAATTTTTGTTCAATTTGTCTTTAAATTGTTCGACTGATTAAGGGTTTTATTTGAAAATGCATGAATTTGTTTAATTTATGTCTAAATTCTGTAAAAATGATATTTTATTGCTTTAATTTAAATTGAGGGTTTTCTTTATTTCAATTGTCAGTGCCTTATTTATGCGATTTATATATATATATATATATATATTATATATATATATATATATTTCTTGTTATTTGAATTATTGATAGTGATGGGAGATATTTATCATAATTTTCACGTGCACTACAAGTCAAAATATAGAACTGTTAATCATGTAGACCCTGATAAGTATGGTTTGTATAATTTCCTGGAAGACATAAGTAGAGCTGTTCTTGAGGATTATCCTGGGGGTTTGGGGTTTACTTATGCTATATACTGTGATATTCCTGGTTCTTATTCTAAGATGTTGGTTAAGAATGAAGCTGATTTATTAGACATGTTATACTTAAATAGTGAAAGAACTAACATTAATGTGTATGTTGAGATAGAAGAAGTTGAACCTTTAAATATATCAACTGATATGGATGAGCCTTATGAGGATATGGATTATGAAGTGGATGCTAAAAATAGCGGGGGTCTGAGTGAAAAAAATGATTAGAAAGTGGGTGATGAAAACAATGAGGAAGAGGATAGTGATGTGGAGAAAGATAATGTGTATGATTTTAGGAAAGAGAATCAAGATTGGATGGCAAAAGGTGATACTGATTGTGTTGAAACTGACACTGCTAGCTTAGATGATGAGTATGTAGGGTTTCAATACAATGATGAAGACTACAATGTGGACTGTGAGGATGGCCTGTCAGATTATGAGTCAAATGATGAAGCACATTCTGATTCAAGTGTAGAGATTGGTGTGAAAAATCCAAAGAGAAATAGATCAAAGAGTAAGGATTGGGATACAAAATTAAAGGGAAAGAATATGTAAAATTTAAAGGATAACTTATAAAACTAGAACAATATTTATTGTTTCAAAATGTGAAACATTTTAGAGAGGTGTTGATAGATTATACAATCCAAGAAGGGTTTCAAATTAGAAAGACCAAAAATGAGAGTTCAAAAATAACTTGTGTTTGCAAAGCCAAAGGTTGTCCATGGAGGATCTATGCCTCCCCACTGCCTTGTAAGACTTACATGATAAAAACATATAATGATAATCATTCTTGTGTGAGGGGTGATAAAAATCCATTAGCCAATTCTATATGGATTGGAAAGAAGTTTTTTAACAAACTCAAACAAAACTCACAAATGACAGTTGAAAGTTTGAGAACTGCACTACATGAAAAATATGGCATTAGAGCAAAGAAACAACAATGCTATAGGGCAAAAAAAAAGGCATTAGATGTAATTGAGGGTACCCATGGGAAGTCATACAGTTTGCTGCCCTCCTATAGGAATGCAATTAGGAGGACAAACCCTGGCAGTTTGGTCACACTTGATTATTATGATGCAGAATTCAATGGAGTCAATAGATTCAGAAAGATTTTCATTGCTTTTGATGATTTGAGGTCTGGGTTTATAAAAGGCTGTAGGCCATTCATTGGGTTATATAACTGTTTTTTAAAGGGCCCGCATGGTGGAATGCTTTTGTCAGCTGTGGCTTTGGATGACAATAATGGTCTATTCCTCATTGCCTATGTTGTGGTAGAAAGTGAAGGGAATGAGACATGGACTTTTTTCTTAGATAATTTGAAGGATATTCTTGGTGCAGATGCACAAGGCAGACATTGGACAATTATGTCTAATATACAAAAGGTATAATTTTTTTCTTCAACTGTTCATTATTACATAGTTCGTTATTAAATTGTTCATTATTACTTTTAATTTAATTTATTTTGCATTTCAGGGTATTGAGGTTGCAATTTCTAACTTGTTTCCTAAGGCAAGCCATAGGATATGTTGTAGGCACTTGTTTAACAGTATTAGGAAGGATAATCCTGGCTTGTTGTTGAAAAAAAAAATTGGAAGGCTGCTAGATCATGCAATCAACTTGAATTTAATGATGCAATGAATCACATGAATGGGATTTCTACAGAAGCTCATGATTGGCTAATGGACAGGCCTTAGAAATATGGTCTAGGGTGAGGAATAGTGAGACATCAAAGAGTGACTATATCACAAACAATTTGACTGAATCCTTCAACAACTAGGTTGGTCATTATAGGTCTAAGCCAATCTTGAATATGCTTGAGTGGATTAGGATTAAATTAATGGTGAGAATCCAGAAAAGGTATCACAAAACTTTAGCTTGGAAGGAAAATTTGACACCAAATGCCTTAAAAAAATTAAACAAATCCATTTAAGAATCAAGAGGGTGTAGAGTTTGTCCTGCTGGGATGGAAGAGTTTGAAGTTCATAAAGTAGTGAAAGTAAGTATGGTTAATTTAAACTTGAGGACTTGCTCATGTAGAGCATGACAGATATCAGGGATACCTTGCAGGCATGCAGCTAGTGGTATTTCATGGAATAGGCAGGACCCTGAGCATTTTTGTGATCCTTATTACACCAAGGACACATACCTACTTGCCCACAGTGGGATGATTCATCCTTTGATGGATGAGAAGTTGTGTAATGTTTTCGATTTTCGCTATTTTTCAATTTCTCGAATTTTTCGTTTACGTGAGGGTATTTTTGTCTTTTTTTGTTTTGCGTGTCGGACACCGTGAAGTGCGTCGAGTGTGTCTGAGAGTTGATTGGGGCATTTCATTGAATTCAGGACTCTTTGAAACGTAAAGGTTGCCATTTCGGCATTTTTCAGTTTTCCGGACCCGAAGGTCTTGTGTGGGACCCGCTACCGGGATTGTTGTGTACGGGAGTTTTGTTTGGGTCCAGTTGCGCCTCATTTTATTTATTTTATGTGTTCTATGTGTTTATAATATAGTGTGTACATATATAAAATTAGTGGTGGAAATAAAATAAAAAGAGAAATATTTTAATTTTGGTGGGACCCGCTTTATTTTTAGAAAAGGGCCAAGAGGCCAATATTGGCTCACTTTTCTCATCTCACTTTCTCTCTCCCGCAAGTCTCTCTCTCTCCTTCTCTTTCTAGAATTTTCTTTTTCTTTTGGTTCTAAATTTTCAGTCTTTGATTTCTCCTTCATCTTTTGGAGTTTTGGGGTGCCGTTCGTGGCAAATTAAAGAGCGTGTTGAGATCTTCGATTTAATCGAAGCAAAGGAGGTTTTAGTGCACCTTGGAATTTCGAAATTAGGGCTAGGAATTGGGCAATTTTTTTGGGCTTTTCTCTTATTTGAGGTAGGGATGTCCTAATCCACAAAGACTCTTTGATTTTTGTGCATTCTCTCTATAATTGAGTGTATAGCATGCTTAATTGTGATTAACTCTTGAAAAATCATTATATTGTTCTCAATGATTTATATATCTATGTGAAATTATATGTGTAAATGATAAATGTGTAAATGATATATGTGTAAGTGGACTGTGGATTTGTTGTGAGAAGCATGCTTATGTGGATTTGTCTTCATATATTTTGTGCTTAACATGCTAGATTATTGTTACTTGAAAGCATTATATGTTCTTTGTACTATTATAAAGCATGTTAGGTGGTTAGGCTTAAATTAAAAGCATGAAAATGAATATTGAAATGCCATGAGACATTCATGCATTGCATTGGGCAAAGAATTGGGAAAGTTGATTTGAAGTAAATGAAAGAAGGGGATTTTTGGGGAAAAGATTTGATAAAAGGATTTTGTGAAAAACTCGGTCGCTACGGAGTCACCAAAAAGCCATAGTGTTAATATAACCTAGAGGGAACTAGGGAAATCACCCTAGTGTGGTTGAGCTAGCTGGGCCCCAAATGACACCGCGGAGGTACCAAGGGTCAGGGACAGTAGTCAATCATTCTCTCGTGTCGTTGCGAAGTCACCAACGGACGGGTTATATTAACAGTTTGAAAAGTGATGAATGGTTTTGGAAACGAGAAGTGACATTGCATTCCATTACACGGCATGGCTTGTTATGATTTGGATTATTTGTTATTGATATTGTGGTTAAATTTTTCCCCCCGAAGTTGTATGATCCCGTCCTCTAATTTCCTATTCCTTGTTTAGA